CCGGTCGTTACAGGTAGTCATAGCAACAAGCTACCTTCTGCCCAGCTTCTCACAGCAACCGCGGGCTGTGACGCCATCCCGAGCGAACGGCTCTTTGGGCTACCCCTCCCCTACTGATGCCCGATTGGCTGAGCCACCCGATCCATCCTCCCCCCGCCCTTTGCAGGATTGGTCGGGAAACGAAGCACGCGAGCCACCGTTGGCCGGATTTTTCTTCTCTCGTTTTTCCCCTCTCGCCTCTTTCGCTTTCTCTTCAGGCCCCGCCTCAATTATTACTGCGCGTCACGCAGCCCCCCGCCCCACCGCGCCTGCGCTTCCCGCGCGAAAGGGGGAAGTCGGCCCCCTTTAAAGCCGAGAGGAGGGAGAAAAGCCTGCCGTTTGAGCGCCTGCGCGCGCCTGCCCTTACCGCGGTGCAAGCCGGGATAAGGAGCCGCGCTCTGTAAGGCCAGGCTGGAGGAGTCAAGATGGATGCAGGCTTTTTTCGCGTAAGTGCTGAGGAGGGAGGAGGCCGGCTGGGACGGGTGCGACGGGGAAGCTAAGGCGGAGAGCAGAAGGCGCTCCAAGCGATCCGAAGCGAGGCCTCAGCCGCCTCAAGGTGGCCGGCGTAGCGGTGTCGCTGCTCTCCTTCCCACCCCCGCGATCCTGCCAGGAGCCGAGAAAAGAAAATGGCGGCGGAGGCGGCGACTCTCTTCAGCGCGCGGTAGAAACCGAGGAGAAAGGATTGGGTTCTCCTCCCGCACGCTTAATGCCGTCCCCTTTTGGCCGGTCCGTGTGTTTTCTTGCGGCCTCTTTCCTCTTTCGGCACGAGTTATTTTGAGGCCTAAACGGAGGGGCTTGTCGGGCTTTCTTCCCTCCGCCAGCGGCAGCCTTCCTCAACCTGGCGCCCTTCCGCCGGGTCGGACTACAATGTCCATTACTCCTGGCCAGGAAACGCATTGGATTGAGTTTCTCTTACTTTAGTGCCTTTCTTTTTTTAACCCCCGCCATGCATCCACCTTTCCGAATTACGTACTTAACTTTGCAATTTATTGTTACAAAACCAGTGCCGTTATTTTATGATTTGAGTGGGAAATTTGGCATGCTCGATAAATCCAGTTTGTATAAAATAGTTTGTATAAAACTATTCTGACTGACTCCAAAGCCAATAATTGGGTTGTGGGGGGAGATTCTAATTTATTTGGTGGAGAAAATTGTGTTACAAAATCTGCAAATTTTCTAATTCGAAGGATTCGAAAACAAGTCAGCTTAAAGTCAGCTTGTTTACAGTGAAAACTTAAAATGTAGCTAGTTCTCTTTTGTAAGTACTGCAAGCACTTTTGTAAGTGCTACTAACCTTGTTGGGGAAGAGAAACGGTAACTTCCTTCAGGATCCCAAATTTTACAGCCCTGAAATCAAAGTGAGAGATAGAAAATCAGTGTATCCGTTCATTGAAAATCCTCTAAACAAAAAGTGAAAACTTGGCAATGAAAATCCTCTAAACAGAATGAAAACATTGGGCTTGATCAACTTTTCTGTGACAAGTTGTACTCAAAATATCTTAGAATGTTTCTGTTTGCTGGTGTAAACCCACTTACTAAACAAACAAAGCTGTACTGCAACAGTTAATATTACTGAATTTGGACTGATAACATCCAGTTTGTGAGTAATCTTTTAGGCCACAGACATATACTCAAATTAATCCTACCTCTTGGTTGGCTTTGTAGGCATATTGTTAGGAAGCATGCCTATACAGATTGCCTTAGCACTGTGAGAAAAATGGTTGTGAGTAAATGATAGTTTGGGGTGTTGCTAGTTTATGACTGTGAAACTGGCATAATGTAGTACTAAAGTGCCCTGCTGCTTGCTTTCTAGAAGGGTAAACTCACAGACAAAAATAATCCCCAAATGCTGAGATTATAACGTGTCTTTTACAGGCATTGATACTTTGTGGTTGATCCGTGGCATGCATACTAAAAGTCAGCAGCTTTTCTTCCATGTATACTGGGGTTGGATATCAAGCAGGCCACTGGTCAGATTTGACCACAGTGGGTTGTATAACTGTATACTTCATGTTATGTAAGTGGCAGTTGGCCTGTGGAATGGCAGGAGTATTGACCCTTAGCACTGCTGGAATCCCTTCATGCTGGACTGCACATTTCCTGCCCTACAACTCTGCCCAAACCATATCGATGCTTTCATTTTCAAGCAAAATAACTTTAGGAGAAAAAATGAATTAAACATGCCATTTAAACCTAAAAATGTTCGGTTAAATAAATAAAATTTTAAGCCAGGACAGTAACAACTAAAAATAGAATCTGAACTCTGAAATTCATTCTATGAAAAACAAATGTATTACTTACATTAAGTCACCTAAACTTTTTCTAGGGAATAAATTGGTTTCTACAATGCATATCTCCTAATTATTTCATATGCATAAATGTTATTTTTCATAGTTGCAAATTTTTGAAAGTAAATCTCAGTTTAACAGAAAATTGAACCTCTAATTCTTTTTAAGTATTGTTTCTCCTATTTTAACAACATGTAACTCTTCAGTGGAATTGTTTTTGTCTTCATATTTTAATATTTTGCTATTTTGGAGCGCCAGTTTGATGTAGTGATTAAAGCATCAGGCTGGAAACCAGGAAACTCTGAATTCTAGTCCTGCCTGAGGCATGAACCGCCTGGGTGAATTCCTATCAGTCACTCACTATCAGCCTAGGAAGGAGGCAGTGGCAAATCACCTCCAAAACCTTGCTAAGAAAATTGGCTTGAAGGCACCACAAAAACACAATTGTACTTTTAGTCTTTTGATTGTTGTAGTTATGAATACAGTAAATAAATTAATGAAACTACAAGTGAACAATCAATTCATTGTGTGTGTTTGTGGTTTTTTTACTTATTTGTAAGATACATTAATTTAAAATCGTTTGATTTCTGGGAGTTTGTATGATCTGATTTTCTTAAGATATAGTTTATAGTTGACAAGCCAGAAGGTTTATGTAAAGGGTTTTGGGAAACATTAGTGGAGTTGAGAAGATGAGTTTGTCTGGAAAGAATGGTTGTAGAGTAGTCCTCCATCTAGGACCACAATGGAGGTCAAAGTTTCTTTTGCTAAGCAAGACAATTGTTAAGTGAATTATGTTCTATTTTATGACCTTTTTGCCACTGTCAAGCGAATCACTGCAGATAAGTGAATCATGCAGTTGTTAAGGTGAATCTGGCTTTCCCTATTGAGATTGCTTGTTGTAAGCCAGCTGGGAAGGTTGCAAATAGTGATCGTATCATCCTGAACAGGGCAATTGTCATAAATACATGTCAGTTGTCAAGCACCTGAATTTAATTACTTGACCATAAGGGTGCTGTAACAGTTTTAATATAAAAATCGTCATAAGTCACATTTTTCAGTGCCCTTATAACTTTGAACAGTCACTAAGTTGAGGACTATCTGTAATTGAATTATTTTATTCTTACAGGGTACAAGTGCAGAACAGGATAACCGCTTCAGCAACAAACAGAAGAAGCTGCTAAAGCAACTGAAATTTGCAGAATGCCTTGAAAAGAAAGTATGTATATGTTATATTAATGAATTTATTTTATTTTTAATAGACATTTAACTTTAAGAAGAGCCTACAGCTGCTGATGTTCAAGACAGACTTGATTTGGAATTTTGAGAGTCACAATGTAACAGAAAAACTACATACAGAAGACAGGGTTCAAGTTGCAGTGTATACATCCATTTCCTTTGGAACAGTTTTCTATTTTGAAGCTACTCTAATCCAAATTCCCTATAACAAAGCAAATTGATGTTGCTCAGAGACCTGTAACTACCAAGAAGCTAAGAATAGAGCAGAAGGGAAGTCCCATTCCAAACAAAATAGCCTTTTCTCATATGAACTAGTAATGATCAAAGAATTTTTTTTAAAAAAATGGAAAGGAAGGAATTGCATTACAATGATATCCATGGGCAGTATGTAGATTCTCTATACAGAAAGTTGCAGTTAATCTTTGGGAGATTTGCTTCTGTTTAGGAAAATTATAATGATCACTACATATAGTTAGATGACATTAAAAGATAAGTTTTAATAAAATAGCTTCCAGTAATTGGTAAGAAAGCTACTAAGAAGGATCACAAACCCCATTGATTTGTGCATATACACTGTACATATCTATATCTGTGTATTGTTGCAGAGCAATATATTAACATAGTATGTACTGTGTATCAGTAAAAGCCTCCTTAGTACCTTCCAAAACTTCAACATGAGTGAAAATTAATGGAGGTGAATATATCTGGACAACATGACAATGCAACCTGCGCTGCTTGTTGCTATATTGTAGGATGGCAAGATTTTACAGTAGTAAGTACAGTATCAAGCAAGGTTTATCTTAAAATTCTTTCTCATTTTGTAGGTTGACATGAGCAAGGTAAACCTGGAAGTAATCAAGCCATGGATAACAAAGAGAGTAACAGAAATCCTTGGATTTGAAGATGATGTAGTAATTGAATTTATCTTCAATCAGTTGGAAGTGAAGGTAATAATTTTGCTGTGGTTGTTTTTCCGTATACGTAATTGTATTGCATAATTATTCTGTGTAAACTGAAATTTTTCTGTCAAAAAACCAGTTGAAATTAGGAGGGATTTTGTTGCAATGCATATTGTGAATAATTCACTTTGTAAAACGTTAAGGTTTACAGTTTTAGTGAAGGTGCATAGTATGCAAACTGCTCAGGTGAAAAATCAGACTTACTGTGTTGATTTTGCTGTTACATGTTAAGCTACTTTGACAGCAATTTTCTAATGATGATGTGATTTATGATTTAAAAGGCCTGAACCAAAATGGAAGTTATTCCTTGCGTCTGAAGTATAGCACCATCACCTTATTAGGTCACAGCAGAGTGAGTGTCCAATGTCGCTCTGACCAACTCCCTTGATGATGCAGTGTGTGTTTGGAGGTGAGTTGTGTAAAGTGGCCGAACCAAAGACAGAGAAAGCATCCAACAGAAAGAAATTGGGCAAAGCTTTACACTGCTCTTTAAATTGTTTTGAATTAAATCACATTAATTATAAAGAATGAAGTGCAGTTCTAAATTGGTAAGAGACGTTCAGTGGAGACCTACTCTGTTTAGAACTATGTTCAGCTGGGATGGCGGGCTTAATATATATATATATGATTATAAAAGTACACTTCAGTTTAATTTAGAAAGCTTAAAGGTTCAAGCTGTTTTTCACTGAAATCAGTGGCATGGCGCCCCTCTGATATCAGCTAATTAATAGTGAGACATACTATACAGCATGAACTGCGTAAATGAACTTGCGTTCATGATAAACAGTCTTTTATTTTGCACAGACTGCGGCTGCATTCCAAGAGATAGTAAAAGTGTTTCTCTGAACCATTGGCAAAATGTTCTTGTTCTAATATTCTCTATGCTCAATCTTTCTTCCAAAGAATTCATCTTTGATTTGACTGAACAGTTGAAATTTCAACTGAGAAAGGTATTGATGTTTTCTTTAAAAAAAGACATGCTGTAATTTGAAAGTAGGTTTTTTTTTTTAATGTCCATATTTGTAATCCCTTACTGTATTTTAATAGAAATTCTGTTGGGGGAGCAGGTTTAGGGGAATCAGATGAAGTATGATATTGTGGTAGGAAGTAGTTTACTAATATGTATTAATAAAATAAAACCTTAATGTGCAGTTTTAATTCCCCTTCATAGAAAGCATGATTTGAAGTTTAGAACTTAAAAAAAAAACATTTTTTTTCTTTCTGTGGTTGTGTACTCATTATTGCTTGTTCGTCTTTTGCAATTTAGATAAATGGTATAACATTAAACTCAAGGTGATTGAGTTGCAGTAGGGAGTCGGAAGCAAGCCAAGGGAACATCTTTCTCTACAGGGGACTTGGCGATTCCAAACCCCCCCAAAGTTCCAAGAAGAAAAAGAAGACACCTGGAATCTGTACTTGCTTTGTGCTGTTGAGCTGTGCTTGTTACATGGACCCTGTTGCTTTGACCAGCAACTTTAGAACTAAATTGCCCACCTGTACTGTGAACCACACTTGACCTCTTAATCCTTTGTGGTCATCACATAATTGTCGTTAAGAAAATGATGGCAGCTTTCATTCCATTAAATAGTTAGTGGAGGTTTAGTTTAGTTTAGTTTACTGATGGAAGTAAGAAAATGCATGCATAAATTCTTTTTCAGTTTTCTTAGCAGGATTTCAGTGATATTGTAGATGACTCTGTAATGTTAAGTGTACAGCTTCTGTCCATTGTACAGATAACTTAAAAGGATTTTTCAAGGAGCGGTACCAAAGAATGCTGGGGGAAAATGTTTAGAAAGATAATTAGAAGAATACACCATCTATTATGATGCTGCTATGGCAAATTCATGACCCTCTGTTTCAGTGGCTGTACAGGTCATACCTTATGAAATCCACAAAGGATTAACAGGCCACTCTGAATGTAATGGTAAGGCAAGAGAATGTTGGTTATTTGTTAGGGCAGTTACTGAACAACTTTTAAGCAAAGTTTTGTTTAAAAAAAACTAATAAAATGAGTAATATGATCTTGTCCATGGTAGAAGATTAAATCAAAATAAAGAATAACTTGTCTGGGTTTGGTTTTTCAAATAACCTGTATTTCTTCCTGTCATATCTCTTTACAGAATCCTGATTCCAAAATGATGCAAATCAACCTGACTGGATTTTTGAATGGGAAAAATGCAAGAGAATTCATGGGGGAACTATGGCCACTGCTGTTAAGTGCTCAAGAAAACATTGCTGGTATTCCATCTGCTTTTCTGGAGCTGAAGAAAGAAGAAATAAAACAAAGACAGGTGGGATTATGTTAAGGGTGGGTTTTACATAAAATAAAAATATTCCTGGCACTGTCAGTAATGTAAGTAGAGTAGGATTCAGCTTTTTGGGCGGGCTTTTTAATTAAGAGAATGTTGGGATTTGCTGTTTCAGATTGAACAGGAAAAATTGGCTTCAATGAAGAAACAAGATGAAGACAAGGATAAACGAGACAAAGAAGATAAAGAGAACAGAGAAAAGCGGGACCGCTCTCGGAGCCCCAGAAGGTGATACTTATTTGCATGTTGACTCTGAGCATGTCTTGAAGACAGTGGTAGAGCAATGCATGAAGACTTTTTAAAAATGAATATGCCATCTTAATACTTGCTGTCTAAATGTTGTGGTTGAAGTGCATTTTTGCCTTTGCTTTGCTTGTTGCAGTTATTTAGCTGAAAACATGAAAGAGCCAAGGGTTTGACCATATATATTGCATCCAGCCACCCAGTTCCTTTATGCTAACTAGGCATATTGAACACAAATGTACAAACTTCTGTACTGGGACTTCTGATGAAGCAGGGCTCCAACTCTTTGATGGACTTTTAAGGGCCTTCAGCCCAAGTACTTTCAGGCTTCCCCAGATACAGTGCTCCGCACAGACAGATAGGAAGGAAAGGGCCTGCCTACATGACATCAGCCCATCACATTTTCAGTCCTTACAGTTACAAACTAAATGTCTCCAGAAAGTTACTGAATGCAGTAATTTTACAGTCAGCAGTCAAAATAGAAAGTTAGGGATGTCCGTGTGATAAAGGTTCTTAATCAAAATGCACGTTGGGTTGAGCATATTTTTTTTAGATCTATCCTAAACTAAATTTACATTTGTCTAGACGCAAATCAAGATCTCCTTCCCCTAGAAGACGCTCATCTCCTGTTAGGAAAGAGAGGAAACATAGCCATTCTCGATCACCCCACCACACAGCCAAAAGTCGCAGTGTTACACCTCTGCCAGTAAAGAAAGAAGAGACACCAGAACCAGAACCTTCCATGAAAGTAAAAGAAACATTGATCCAGGAGGCCACATCTACCAGGTAACACCGTCGAGGATTAATTCTTTTCCTCCTGGTTTTGTAATGATGATGTTAAATCAATGAAATTAGACGTTTATGTGCACTGTTTACTTAGTTATTTTTATCCTTAGGGCTTCTGAAATACTAGTCGCTAAAGATCCTGTTGTATAACATAGTGGGTCCTAAAATAGCGACACAATGTCAGCCTTGCACTAATATAGTCTTGACTTCGTAATTTGTTTTAACAGCGATATCTTGAAAATCCCTAAAATTGAGCCTATGCCGGATACTAAGGAAATATCTCCAGAAAGAGTTTCCAAAAAGGAAAAGGAAAGGGAAAAAGAAAAGGAGAAGGCTCGTCCAAGATCTCCATCTCGATCTAGATCAAGATCAAAGTCTCGATCACGTTCCCCATCTCATTCAAGACCAAGAAGACGTCATAGATCACGATCCAGGTTAGCTAGTTCAAATTCTTTCTGAAAATAGCTCACCTTATATCGTAACCTTATTAACCATTGTTAATAATGATAGCATAATATTAAATATATGAAGCCTCGATGCTTCCATTTATCCATTATTCTCAAATGATCCTCTCTTGGTTTTTTTAGAATCTATCTTCATACTTATACTAGCCTTGCCTTTCTTGATACATATTATAAAGCAGTTCTCTTTCTGTGCTACACGAAGTAAACATCTAGAGTAATTTGTAGCTTTGGCATGTAGGTAGGTGCTATTGTTCTTTTTTCGCTTAGAAACTTTGTAAACATTCAGTTACATAAAATCAATATCTGATTTTTTTATCCTTTGTACGATTAGGTCTTATTCACCAAGGAGGCGGCCTAGCCCAAGAAGGCGCCCATCTCCTCGGAGAAGAACCCCACCGAGACGTATTCCACCTCCACCCAGGCATAGAAGAAGCAGATCTCCTGTGAGGCGGTAAGAATTTTGAAGTTTAGAGGCAACAATCACACTGAAACTTTTGGGACTGTCCTATCCTGGTTCCCTCTGAATCTTTGTTAGATCTTAGCTGCAGTTCTAGCAATTGTACTTCAGAGTACACTCCAAGTAAGAAGCTATGTTACATTTTTGTTGCTTCTTATGCTACCCACAGCTCTCTGGGTTTCACGGAGAAGATAATAGAAAATATGTTTCAGGTTGGCTTGAAAAGATGAGTTTAATTATGCTTAAAATCCTGATAGGAATATGTCTGCTTTGCAACACAATTCTGTCAGGAAAACAAGGCTATGAAATTTTGTTCTTTTTATTTCAGACATGATATTCTTCCGATTAAAATCGGAATTCCGATTTTTTGGGGAATCGCCCCCCCTTTCCCCCCCTTCTTCTCCTTCCCCTCCCCTCGGAGGCCCCGAGTCAGGAGTTGCTACCGCTGGCGCGGCTCTGCGTGGCTCCAGTTCCGCGTTGCCTCAGGAAGGGAAAGGCAAAAAGGAAGAGCCGCGGCGGCGCTTTGCAACGGCAGCAGCGGCTCCTGGTTTTGCCTTTCCCTTCCCGAGGTAACGCGGTGCGAGCGGAGGCCGGGCGGTGCGAGGGGCAGGCGGGCGGTGCGAGCGGCGGGCGGTGCGAAAGGGAGCTGGGCAGCGATTTCTTGGCGCACGGTGTGGGGGGGTCTCTTTTGGCCGGCCCTGATTTTTTTTTCAGAGGGGAATATCATGCCTGTTATTTGTTATTTAACTTTTATGTCACCTATATTGAAAAATTGTCACCTTACAAATTAAGACCTTGTTTTTCTTCATTGTTTGCGTTTTAGACTGATATACCAGTTTAGTTGGAAATATATTTGTGGCTATGCTTTTGGCAGGAGGGCTTTCAAGGAAGAACACGAGGATTGTTTGCAATGTTGTTTAAAATTCCTTCTCTGACTTTTTATCGGCCCATTTTCTACTCTTGCTGATACTGACATTTGTAAAGCTGAGACAGACAAAAAAGATATTTGTAAAGCTGAGACAGACAAAACAGTAGTTGAATTTGCTTAGTAGAATTATAAGAAGTACAGTTTCATAGTCATATGACCTTACTTTTAATGAGTATTGCTCAAGGGAGGATTCTTGGGAATTCTACAATCAAAGGTGGGTCATCAACAAGATGAGAGCAGCAGAACTGACCACAATTGTGGCCAGAATTCTGTAGGCCCTCCTTTAAACGTAATGAATTCAGCTTACTTGCTGACTCTGTATGTGTTTGCCTGGATGTTTTATGTTTGGAAAAGGTCAACTGTTTTTCAATTCTCTTATTTTGAGTGATTTTGACCAAGAATAAAAACATTGTGTAATATGTTGACTATTCAGACTACCCAGTTCTTAATACAGAAACTTTCACCATTACGAAATGGTATTTAACCTATAAGGTGATGCAATAGTTCTGCATAATGTAGAAAATGAACATTCTGTTATTGGAAATATCGTATTAGGAGTTAGTAAAATCTTTGTGAAACTGCAAGGCAGATCAATCTTCAGACTAAGTTTAGAGCATATTTAATATCAAATTTAATGTTTTAGGAGGAGAAGATCATCAGCATCATTATCAGGAAGTAGTTCATCCTCATCATCTTCACGTTCTCGATCACCACCAAAGAAACCGCCTAAGAGAGTTGTCTCTAGTCCTCCCCGGAAAACAAGAAGGCTTTCTCCTTCTACAAGCCCCCCAAGGCGAAGACACCGACCCTCCCCACCTCCCAGTCCTCCCCCCAAGCCCCGCAGGTCACCAACACCACAGCAGTCTAATCGTACAAGAAAAGCCCGTAGTTCTGTTTCTCCCAATAGGACTTCAGGTAAATGGAAATATTTTTGAAAATATTGCAAGCTATTCTTGATAATGTTTTTAGCCTCAAATGCTTCTGTATTAAAGTGCTTAACTAGCTATTACTTAACTTTGAAAGAAAACTGCAATCTTTCCAGTAAGATCTGCTTTCCAGGCTGCAACTTACTGTGTGAATTGACCAGGAAATTAGTCCGTTTCCGCATTTTAGTTACTTGATTTGTGTGTCACATTTTTCTTAATTTGATGAAATATGTAGACTTTCTCTTAAATATTGACAATTTTTAATAAGGTGACTTGCATAAGAATCAAAAATACTTTCACATGATTGTGATATAAATGAGTTTTAAATGTTTACTTTTTTCTTCTCAGCACCTAAACATAAAAGTATTGAAAAGAGAGAATCTCCCTCACCTGCACCAAAAACAAGAAAAGTTGAACTGTCAGAATCAGGTAGGTTTCAGAATTGTCCCGTACTTTCCAATGACTGTGATAATGAAAAGAGTTAACTGGAATTCAATCAGTTAGATCCTAATACCCATTGTAGGTACAGTTTAATTAAAATCAAAGGACAAACAACTCAACAATAACAAAAGTTGCAATTGGATCTCAGTCATCATTTGATTTGCATAGCCAAAAAGCCCAAAGGAACTAAAACTTATTTTTACATGTATATAAAGGAAGATCATAGTCGGTATATATTAGTACTTTATTAAAGTACTTTATTAATATGAACTATAATTTTTTCCTGCCTAATATTTAGAAGAAGACAAAGGTGGTAAAATGGCAGCTGCAGATTCTGTGCAGCAAAGACGACAGTACAGAAGGCAGAACCAGCAGTCTTCATCTGGTATGGTATTTTATCTTTTGTATGTATACTTGAAATAAGTTTATTATTTATTGCGGTTTTCTTCTCAGGTATAAACTGTAATTTGACATAGACTAGGAATTTTTGTGTCCTGATGCAATGGGACGCTCTTAGATATGAGCAAAAGTTTGCTTTTAGAGATAAGAGACGGGGAAAAATGGAGGGGAAATGCAGCAAAACTTTGTTGCTCATGAATCCCATATATATATATATGATGCCTGTCTGTGTTGTTTTCTGCCTAAGAGGACATTGTGTTCTTGCTTGTCATTGCTGAGTGTTCGGTTCTTTGAAGAAGCAAAGACTGAAAGTTCCTATTGAAAATTATGTAAATATATAGTTGTGATCCTCTTCTCTCCCACTATAACTAAAGTTCTGTATAACAAAGAACTTTAACAATCCTGAAAATATTGTTAGGAGTAGTTTCTCAACATTAAGTCTAATTTACAACTCTAGGGTAGACCAAGATTAAGCTTTAAATGAGCAAAAGCATTCCATTTTGCTTTTAAAATGGTTTATCAAAGCGTCTTGTATTTTTCAATACTTCACTAAATTTCTATATGATTTGAACTGCTTGGTTTGGATCCTGTGGGGCAACTGAATAAATAAATGAATAAGCGTGCTTTCTTCCTTTTCTGTTTCTAGTCTGTAGGACAAAATACACTGAATATTCTGCACTGCACAATTATATCACATATTAATAACAATTATTTATTGTGGTTTAGATTCTGGTTCATCATCATCTTCTGAAGAGGAACGACCGAAAAAGTCAAGTGTGAAAAATGGTGAAGTGGGTAGACGACGACGGCATTCGCATTCTCGCAGCCCATCTCCTTCTCCACGAAAGTGGCAGAAAGAATCTTCTCCTCGGTAACTTCCTGTTGTGTGTCCAGGCTGATCTTTTTTTTTTACTAATGATTTCTTGACCATCTGATAAAAAGCTACTGGAATTTCTGAATAGATATCAGTGAACATAATTCAGGTCCTGACCCATTCTGAAAGAATGTGGCTAGTTTTATTCCTCACTCGCAATCCATGGCTTCTCTATTCATGGCTAGTTTTTTTTAAAAAATAAGCCTGTCTTGATATATCATATTAAGCCATAAAACCATGGTTTATAAACCTTAATGGCTGAGTTCATACCCTAATGAACCATTCCATGAATACAGTATGAACCCAGCTATCATGTCCAGTTTTTGCTTTCATTTTAGCTATAACAATTTTGCAGCTGTTCCAGTCTTTTGGTTTCATCCATTATAATATAGTTTTGATCGCAACCTAAAGGGTAGCTGTTTACCTAATGAGTAAGGGATTTGTTGTGTGCAGATACGAGCCATTATGCACTGCAGTACAACATACATTGAAATTTGATCAGTTTTTGCCTGCTAATTGATCCTCACAAATGAATTTTTCCTCCCTCCACTGCTGTCAGGATGCAGATGGGAAAGAGGTGGCAGTCACCAATTGTTAAAAGGTTGGTCAGCAGGTCATTCTGTTCAGAGTTAAACTTAAATGTGTTTTGAGAATGGAGCATTTACTGCTGATTTAATCACAACTGCATGTTTCCCCCTTCTAGGAAATACAGTAAAATAAGTAAATCACATAAATGGTGGCATAAAGGGCAGTTTCCTATTGCTTCTATAATTTATTAGATCACTGGGCAGAAGTTTAAAAGTATAATTTTTAAAATAATTTTTAAAAACAAAAACGTGGAAGACAGTTCAGCATTAATAAATGCTGTAGTGAACTATAGTGAGGATCAAAGGATTTATTTATTTTATATTCCACATTTTTAATAAAAAAAGCAAAATTAAATTGGCACAGATCAATGACTATAAATTGGTCCTTGGTCATATTCATCTTCTTTCTAAAGACAAAAAATCAAGATATTTTAATGAGAGGTGATATGTATTGAGATAGAAATGAGTTAAAGAATATTGGACATACTTGGTTAAAATCTTCATAGTTGTATCGGTTACCCGGATATTTTCTCTTATTGCTCAGTGTCTCTGGAAGAGCTGTTTCATAGCAGATTTTAGTTCTGCCAGGAATGAAATGTTTAAAGTGGACAGCTGCTGCTTCTGTACACGTTCCAGTAGTATTCTGATGGCCCTCATCAGTGTGAGTAGATCAGTTGCCAGTACAGGTAGTTCTTGCTGAACAATGGACTTGGCAATTCCAACGTTAAGTGATGCTCTTGTAATGTCAGGGTCATGTTAGCACACCAACCTACTACGCTAGCAGCTGCCATCGTTAGGTGAATTCTACATGGTTACAGTATCCCATGTTCATTTGATCACTTTTTGCATCCTCTTGCCAGCTTTCCCATTGACTTTGTCAGAAGCTGGCAGTGAAGTTGCAAATGATGATCCATGTAACCATGGGATATGATTGCAAGCTGGATGCCAAGCATCCAAATCACAATCATGTGACTTTAGGGATATGTGACAAGTCCCCCTCATTCAGTGCTATTGTAACCTTGAATTGTTGCTGAATGAGTGGTCGTTCAAAGAGAACTTCCTGTATTATTAGAACATTGATCAAGGATAGCACAAAATGAATTATGTTGAAATCTCAATCAATTATAGGTTGTCTATTCTGAAAGAAAGGCCTTGTGCAATAGAAGACATTCTATACCACCTAAATTGCCAAATATATGTTTCCAAGTTGTACACTAGTTGCCTACTCAGGCAATCATGCATGAGATAATTTTGCTTTAACCACCCAGGGTAAGGTTTTCCTATCATAGAAGCCAGGCACTTTGTAAAGTAGGTAACAACTGGTGGTTTCCAGATGTCTTTGACTGCAGCTGTGACTCCTGACCAATGACTGGTGGATTGGGACTTGTGGAACTGTAGTCCTAAAGCACTGCTTGATACTACAGTAGTAGTAGACTACAACAGTAGCCTCTTAAGCACCCCTTGCTCTTTCAAACTTATTGTCCTCTTTCCTTACAGTAGGAGGAGGCGAAGTCCCTCCCCACCACCACCCAGAAGACGACGGTCTCCTTCTCCTGCCCCCCCTCCAAGACGTCGCAGGTCACCGTCACCCCCACGACGAAGGTAATATTGCATGTTTGTAGAAAAATGCTGGTCCCTGAGATGGAAGTCGCGATGTCCAGCTCCATAGCTGGACATTGTAGCATTTTCTTTTTGGGAATATTCAATTAGTGGGAAACATTTTATAATGCTAATAATCCCTTTAGGATGACTTACAGAAATATTTTTAAATGCATACAAAAAACTAAAAGCAGAAAAACCTTCATTTTTATAATACAAGATTTAAAAGTGTAGGAACATTTAGAAATTATTTTAGTGAACGGGTTTTAACAGGTGATTCTCAATATGTTTTTGCTGCGATACCTAAGTGCAATTGCAGTTAAGGGAAAATGTACCTTCTCCTCTATTTCACTTCATTTCACTTCACTTTGTTCCTTCATTTTGCAATTTGCCTAGGTAACAACCCTTGTAATTTGGTGATTTGATCAATATGTTTATGTGCCTTCTTACTTCTTAGGTCTCCTTCACCACTCCCTCGCCGGCATTCGCCTACACCCAGAAGATACTCTCCTCCCATTCAGAGGAGGTATTCTCCTTCTCCTCCTCCAAAGAGGCGAACAGCATCACCTCCTCCCAAAAGAAGGGCTTCTCCTTCTCCGCAGCCTAAGCTCAGAGTCTCTCGCTCTCCACCACCAAAACAAAGAAGCTCTCCACCCGCAAAAAGACGTTCGCCATCTGCATCTTCCAAGCACAGGAAAAGCTCCCCTCCTAGCAGGTCCAACCGGGAACCCCGCTCTCCACTGCAGAACAAGCGGCATTCACCTTCCCCACAGCCTAGGCCTTCACGGACCTCTGCCAGCCCCCCATTGTTGCGTAGGGGTCCTTCTTCATCACCTCAGCGAAGGCAGTCTCCATCTCCAACCTCTAGGCCCATCCGAAGAGTCTCAAGGACTCCAGAGCCCAAGAAGTCAAAGAAGTAAGTGAAACACGTGGAACAGTTTTAGATTTGTGTTTTTCAAACTTCACCTTTGAGGTGTAGCTGGGGAACTTTGTGAACTTGTCCACACATCTTTAAGTTGCCAACTTTGAAAAACATGGATCTAGATTGTTGGGCTACAGCTGTAAGAGCTGTGGTGGCTCGGTAGTTAGGATGTAGTATTGCAGGCTAACTCTGCATTCCCACTGCCAGGAGTTTGAGTCTGACCAGTTCAAGGTTGGCCCAGCTTTCCATCCTTCCGAGGTTGGTAAAATGAGGACCCAAATTGTTGGGGGCAATAGGATGACTCTGTAAACCACTTAGGGCTGTAAAGCACTATGAAGCGGTATGTAAGTCTTAAGTGCTATTGCTGTAATTGCTCTGAGTAGGAAATCTGCCCAATCAAGATGTGTGGTATAGGTACTTTGAGTAAAAATAAAGTTTTTCCCCACTTTGGGAATCAATAGGTACTATAAAATTCACAGCTGATTTGAATTTTCAACATTGATTTTGCTGCCTTTTCTAAAAAGTATAATATGTTGTGCCTCTTCTTTCTAAGGGCTTCTCCACCAAGTCCCCATTCTGCAAGAAGGGGTTCTTCGTCTAGATCAGCTTCAGCATCCCCTGAGCCACCCGCTAAGAAGCATCCAGCACCTCCCTCTCCTGCTCGATCAGCATCCCCTTCTGCTCACTGGTCACCAGTAGCACCTGCAAAGAAGGCTAAAAGTCCGACTCCAAGCCCATCACCAGTACGAGTGAGTATCTTCTACTGTAAATTTGTGAGGGTTCATTTGATCAACTCTCTTTTTAACTGGTTGGAACAATGGCTGAGATTACACACCACTTGTAAGCCGTAATGCAAGGTTGGTTGAGTTCTGTTCATGGAATGTGCAAACCTGTTCCAGCTGCTGTATGACTAGCAGTTAAGCGCATAGATATATCCACTGGTGTGACAGACCAAATTCTGTGGACATTGATGAGGAAAGATCTGTAACTGGACCCCTGATGTGCATTTGATGGACAAACTTATTTTCAGGGTGAAAATCAAAGAGATGTCTGTCACAATTCTTACTTGTAATGTATGGGGTGGAGATGTGATTTTTATAATGTATTGTTTAAAATGATGGCTTGATCTTCCAGAATTCTGATCAGGAAGGAGGTGGTAAAAAGAAGAAGAAGAAGAAGGATAAGAAGCATAAAAAGGATAAGAAGCACAAGAAACACAAAAAGCATAAGAAAGAAAAGGCTGCTGTAGCTGCTGCAATGGCTGCTTGTACAGCATCTGCAGAGGAAGATCAAGAAAAAAATGTAGAACCCAAAAAGGTGAATATTTAGCCTCTGTTTAAATAAACTTGAGTGCTTTTCTTCATCTTTAAGGTTGAATATCGATATGGCTAAATATTTTAAGAATTCAGGGATTATATTAAAATCTATTACGATAGTGCTCTTGCGGAGTTTTTTCTAGGAACATAGTTTGTGTTTGGTTTTAGAATCTATATAATTTGGGTGTTGATAGGTGGCTTAACCTTAAAACCAATGTGCAAATGAGATTATGTACTTCTCTAGTGTATTTGATGTTGAAATCACTAGCAAGACTCCCTGCTTTTTAGGCTGCTTGTTTCATGAAAGTTTCTACTCTCTGGCCAAATCTAACCCGGGCTCATATTCTGTAACTATAGAAGTAATTGCTGACTTTCCATTGCGTTAAGGAGACTGAGAGTGAAGCAGAAGATAACCTGGATGACTTGGAAAAACACCTGCGTGAGAAAGCTCTGAGGTCGATGAGGAAGGCGCAGGCATCTCCACCATCTTAGGATGAAGCAGCATTTGATTTCATGTAAATTTTATTTGGTTTATACTCAAGATTTCAATTTCAAATTGCTAAAATGTGTTTGAGCTTTAGACTTTAACATCGGTTGTAATAATTGCTAGGTTAAAGTTCACCATTATTATTAAAAAAAGGGCATGGATCTTCATTACAAACAAAAAACAAAAAACCATTTACAGCGTACTAGTGACCTCCTTTGACATTTGACATGATTTTGTTAGAATTTTCTTAAGCATCAAGGATCTCTTCCCCGCCCTATCCCTGTTCCTGTTCAATGGTTTTAAAAGGGCCTGGCAAACTTCAGAGTTTTTCTAAAGCGGGTGGGCAACTACGGCCCTTTCACGATCTGTGGACTTCAACTCCCAGAATTCCTGAGCCAGCTAAAGTCCACAGGGCATAAAGAGCCATGGTTGCCCATGCCTGCTCTAAAAGGTCATAGTACAAATGCTTACAACATTTCTATTGTAAATTCTTGCTCCAGATCTTTTGTGGTTTGTAGGCACGAGGGAGCCACTCTTGGCAAAGAATTATGTGGGAACACTTGCCAAACAGCCAGGTTTCTCAGTGTTTCCTAATAATTTATGTTTAAAATTGGCACAACATATCTACTTTATAAACTTGCTTGGCAGAAGGCAATGGGTTCATTATAATATGATAAATTTATTTGGAACACTGGATTTTTAATTTGTACCTTTTCTCTCTTATCCCCTTCACCTTTTAAAAAATACAGTTCCTGTGATCAACAGTCTCAGCCAAATTTGGCATAAATTTTTGTTTTGTGGAATGTTGTTGCCCATTCATAGTTTTCTTTCATCTTGTTGAAGTCCTTTGGAATAGTATGTAAGTTTCAGAGTTGTGGTTTCTGAAAACCTGAAGGACCTGAACTTTGGATATTGTCATGTTCACATTGGGGGTTTTATTTTGTTTCTGTTTTTTTAAACTAAAGCTATTACAAAGCTTGTGTATTAAACAAAATAAATTTCTAAATTTAAAGGATCTCAGCGTTCTGCATCAATCTTTTCCCCCTCCCTTCTCAGTTTTAAGAAAATAATATTCATTATGTAGAGCTATTGAGGGGTCCAATCCTGTTAATTGAAGTAAAATAATTTGCATGAAGGGGACTTCAAAGAATGTCAGAAGTTAATAGATCATGAGATATTTCTCTTTCTAGAGGAACTTTTAAAGATGGTGCCCCTCATCTAGCGCTCTTTGTACACTCTGCATATTGGAAGCTTCTGTGGGATCATGCATTTCCAAGAGATGGCACTTCCTGAGCATACCTTTTCCTTGTTATAAAATTGATCCCCCTCCCCTCATTTTAGCCCAATGTAAAGAACAGGGACACAGTTGCTTGTGGGGAACTTTTAACTCTTAACAAGGGCATTTATACATTCAGGTTGCACTACATAACAGACTGACTTCATTTCATAGGTGAGAAAGAGTTACTGGAGGAAGTTCTGAATCTCCTAGCTTCCTGATCCTCATATTCCTTTCATTAAACCTGATTTATGCATAAATATAAAAAGGCAATGAATGAATGAGATGACTCTTAATGGAAAAGGAAAATGGTTCTAGCAATATCTTTCTTACCTCATTTGTGTTCCTTGTGATCTATAATCATCTGCCAGTCTCCTCTTCACCCCGGATTGATCGGGATCAAGTGACTTACATAATTGTGTTTGTTGCTGCCATATGATATAAACTATTCCACAAAATTTTGAATGTCAACCTCTTTAAAACTAGGCCTGGCAATCAAATATTCTAAAACATATTTAGTCCTAGGCTGCAAGAAACTCTTCTGGCACTGACAAATAACATTTCAAGCCTGAGCTACAAATATTTACCTTTATCAGTTAACTTGGTAGACAAAACCAGACACTGGTATTTTCTGAAACTTTGAGGTAGGGTTACTTTAGTGAGTCCTTTTCAATATGTTCTAGTTCTTTTTGGTTTCAATTCTCTAAATTATCAACATGCTGATAACATCCAAAGTTTCTTGAAAGTACTTAGTTTCTCAGAAGATTGCATAATTTCTCTTTTTTTCAATTGGGGCCCTGGACTTTAGTTGTTATTTTTTATGTACCTTCTTAGCACTCTTGTGTTAAGCAGTAACAGCTGATGATCACTACAGCAGTGGTCGCCAACCAGTGGGCCGGGGACCACTGGTGATTCACAAGATAATGTTGGTGGTCCGCAGAGAAATGTCACCCCCAAAGCAATTAATCCAGGCTGTGCGGGAACACAAGGCTTGCGTCGCTTGCATTGCAAACAACACGTAGTGAGGGGAGGAGGGAACTTGCCCCATGTGCTTTGCCTGGCCACTGGGCTGCTTCTTTTCACTTCTGCTTTTGGCTACACACAAGGAAAGCAGCAAAAGTCTTTCTTTTCCCTAAACTCTGCCAGAAATGAGTCTTTGGGACCCTGCAAGGCATCCTGCTCCAAGAGGCTGTGCCGACGCGACAAGTCTCACAAAGACTCATTTCTGGCGGAGTTTGGGGGAGAGAAAGAAAGACTTCTGCTGCTTTCCTTGCATGAAGCCAAAAGTAAGTCAGTCAGTCTGTCTCTCTCTCTCTCTCTCTCTCTCTCTCTCTCTCTCAGAACGGAACTGGAGACAGTATCCTGTGATCCCAAATAAAGAACGATTGGTAGGAAAATGGGGAGGGGAATTTTCCTGTAGACTTTTTTGGGGATTTTCCCAGGGTCTCTGGTCCGCGGGATTTAAAATTAAGGGTTTGGTGGTTCCTGACATCCAAAAGGTTGGCGACCCCTGCACTAGAAGGTGGACTGGATCAAGTGAAAGCTGCATTTTCTCACTTGACTACAGATGATCCTTGACTTATGACCACAGTTAGGACAGGATTTCCATTGCAAGGCGTTAAGTGAGTGGTGCCTGATTTTACGACCTTTATTCCCGTGGTTATTAACCGAATCATTGCAGTTGTTAAGTGGATCTTATGATGAATCCGGCTTTCCACTTTGACTGTTGGAAGTTGGCAGGGAAGGTTGGGAATGGCAGTCCCATGACTCCTGTGTGTCTCAACCTTCGTAAATACATGCCGGATTCTCAAGTGCTTGAATTTTGATCACGTGACTGTGGGGATGCTACAATGGGGGTAAGTGCAAAGACCCAGTTGTAAGTTACATTTTTCAGTGCTGTAACTGAGCAGTTGCCTGTGTGTGTGTGTACACTTACATACAGAAACACAACATATTGCGAAATGGGAAGCATAATTGGATTGCACATAATGATGCACAGGGAGGAGAAACTAAGCCCTGATTTGTGGAAGCCTGTTTATTGAATAAACCACATTATGTAACAACCAGGGAAGGAAGAGATGATCCAGTCAGAGAGGAAAAAGCAAATGAAAAGAAGGAAGTGAATAAGGAAGGGGGAAAGCATAGATTTTAGCCTGCAGAGAGAAGAAGGGAAGGGAAGCCAGCAGGGAACAGGAAAAAGCAAACTAACAAAAAAGCAGAATTTAATTCCAGATCATGCCGATCACAATGCAGACCCTGTAGGAAGAATATGCCAAGCCTGCCCTCGATATTATCTGTATTTTGGGGTGACCCGTTTTTGAATCCTTGTATTGTGTGCGCTCAGGCTTCGCAGGTGAAGTTGCAGCTGGAAATGGCAACTCCGTGAATGTTCAGAGGGAGGAGGTGTCCAAATTCAGATGCTGAACGGCCCCGGAAAGCATCTGTCGTGGGCTGACCTCAGGCCAGCTCACCCTTCGCTCACCCCACATGTTTGGCGCACACGTAAGAACATTTCAGTGGAACACTGGTCCACTCAAGTTTGAAAAAAAGATCATCGAATACAGACGCACACAAGTTTAGCTGGGAAAGTTACGTTCGCATATATAAGCCTGTGACTTATATGACTTTCTCATGACCACAATTGGGACCAGAATTTCCGTTGCTAAGCAAGGTGGCAATTAAGTGAGTTGCACCCAATTTTATAACCCTTTTTGCACAATTGTTAAGCAAATCATTGCAGTTAAGTGAATCACATGGACACGAATCAGGCTTCTCCCAGTGACTGCTTGTCAGAAGCTTTACTGGGAAGGTGGTAAATGGAGATCACATGATCATGTAACACTACAACTGTTGTCCATACATGCCAGTTGCCAAGCACCCAAATTTTTATCATGTGACTATGGGGGACACTCACAGTTGTAAGTGCGAGGACCAATTGCAAGTTACTTTTTTTTAGTGCAGTTGTAATTTCAAATTGTCAATAAATTCAAGATTGTAAGTCAAGGACTACCTGTGCAGTCATACATATATTTGATTCTTTCAAGGTAACTCCAAATGTTCAGTCCAAGGAGCTGCTCGCAGCCATTTCAAGCATTTCTGCTATTTGAGGTGAAAAATACCTTGTTTTACTTCACAAAAATAATTTGCTTTCTCATTAAGTGATAAACCTTATCAACATGTGTGCACACTTTAAAAAAAAGAGAGAAGAAGCTATTGCCAATTTATCACAAAAAGCAACATGGGGTACTCTACACAATACTTTCACTAGGTTGAAGTATAAAAAATGGGCTCTGTTCCTACTCCATAAGGAGCTTCACATTTAGAGGTGTTGTGATGACCCAAAGGGGCATGGCACAAAGGCAACATAGTCACATAAGTAAGAAGAGTCCCTTTAATACCTCCAACTTTGCACCCAATGTCCAGGTTACCTTCGGCTGGAGAAAAAACTCTCAAGAACCAATCTTTAAGTGGAGGAAATTCAGTCCGAAAACAAAGTACATATAAACTTTAAATAAAAATCCACACAATCCACACTGTAGCAATTGACTTGACAGGGCAGGAGAAGGAATTCCAGACTTGAAAGGCCAGCAACACACACACAGTTGGGAAGACGCCAGGAACCCAGATAAGCTTCCAGGATACCAGATAACTCACAATTTGTTTCCAACAAGTTGCTGTGGGAGTTTCCTTTTTAAACACTGTGTTCCCAGCTGCAGCTAATGAAAGGAATCAAGGCCCTTTCCTCCCCTGTAAGCCATGCAACTCACGTTGCTCCCTTCTCCGTTCCTGCATGCCTTAGGATGAAGGGGGTGGGCCTGGGTCTTCCTCCGAATTCTCTCTGCCTTGCTCTACTTCTCCCCTGCTTTGCCCAGCCGGACTTTGCCCTTCCCCAGTTTCTTCCACAGCCAACGGGGCCACACTCCGTCAGCTGCTCGGCTTCCCCCTTGGAATCTAATTCTAACGGGCATGACAGGTATCTCTGAAACACTCAAGAGTCCAGCAAGATGTTGATTGTAATGGGACAACTCTTAATATGAACCATCCTGATTTGTCAGTTGCAGTTTTAATGCAAAGATTTTCCTAGCAACTTTTTAAAGAATAACATTGGGTCTCCTTTCGGAAGCCTCCCTCAATTCTTCTATGAGTTTCGATCTCTTTAGAGAGCTAGGATGCTAGAGTTCACCTCAAACAAGGAAGAGGTGAGACAATGCCCTCTTTGTGTGCGTCTTTACACTTGCTTTGGGCACCAACGGTTGATGAGCGGATGAATGCATGTTTTAACTTTCTGAAGGTCCATGGAACATCAAAAAGTTTTAGCCTCATGTAAAATGGCAGAACAGTATAAGCCTACTGCACGTCATTGAAAACCTCTAGTAGAGGTTTCTCAACCATGGCAATTTTAAAATGGATGAACTTCAACTCCCAGAATTCCTCAGCCAACATGGCCTTCACCTCCTTTTGCATACTGGCTGGATAATTCTGGGAATTGATCTGCCCGTCTTAAAGTTGCCATGGTTGAGAAACACTGATTAGTCCAACCGGTTGGTCAATGCAGGAATCTACTATTACAGTGTCTTTCTGAACAGTTCTTTCTTTTAGAGGAGGGGTGTCAAACTGGATTTCTTTGAGGGCTGGATCAGCATTGTAGTTCTCATCTGCGGGCCAGCAGCAGGGGGCTGTGGCAGGACGGGGCAGGACCGATGCCTCCTGCAGCAGCCTGCTGGCCAAACCGGGGTATG